ATATATATATATACACTTTTAATGTCTATACTTACAGACTGTAGGTGAAAAGTATTGGGACTTAACTGAATCAGTTTTTATCTATTTACATAATAAAAATCAAGTTGATCTGAGCTGAAAACCTGCTGCATCTAAAAACATTTTTTAAAATCAGGATTATATAGAAGTTAGGTGGCTTCTGATTAAAATAAAAAAAAAAGCTTAACTGGTTGTGACAGTGGTCACTCCCATAAACACTGTTTAGTGAATAAGTAGGATGTTATTCTGTTTACTTACTGGCAAAAGGAAAATGCTATACAGTGCGGTTATGCTAATTAAGGTAGTGCAAGGCAATCCACCACAAGCCAGCTCAGAATTGCCCTGTGACAGGGTATTTAGGAAGTACTGAACTGCAAGTAAGCTCAATTACATCCTCCCAGCGTGTTTCACATAAATCACAGTAAATCCTCTTTCAGGCCTGTCTTTTGGAAATTACTGGAATGTTACAGCACAAAGAGACGGCTGCATCAGGGCGACTCGGAGGAAAAGAGCTTATGAAAAACTGCAGCGTAATGCACAGATGTGCGGAGCGACTTCCTGCTCAGCTCCGCCACACCCAGAGGAAGTCAGGGAGCTGAACGAGGCTTTAACCATGCAGCACGCTCGCTGACGAACAGCGCTGCAGATCTGCTAGATGGAGCAGAGAAAAGCAGGTTTACAGAGAAGTTTCTAAAGAAATTTAGTTTCAAATGCAACTGGAAAGAAGCTGCGTCACACTGAAGGAAGACTTAAAGACAGATTTCACAAACAGGACCCTATTTTTAGTATAAAAAACACTCACAATGCATAAAAATACAGCTAAAATGTCAGTTATTTGATCAAATGAGTGTATAAATGAATGTTATCTGAAGGCTGTCTCATGAATATTTATCTTCTGATGCACTCGAGTTTCAAACTTATTATTGGTCGCCCCAGATTTTTTATGATTATTTGAATTGCAGAGTTCCCACTTGACAAAAGGGATAAATTGCTGCATCTTTAAAGCGGCCATTGATAAACTGATCTATTCTTTAAAGACATTTTTTTGTATTAAAATGTCACATTCTGGCATATCCAAATGTCAACTCCCAAGGTTGCCTCGCCAACTGTCTCGCTTTAACACTGCTTTTGAAATAATAACTATTTTTAAAAGGATGGCTAATACTGAAATACATTTTCGCAGTGGAGGTAACTCCGAGTATGTAATGGTGCCAAACGGGGGCTTTACTAAAGCGCCGCAAATGAACTATCTTTCAGTCAGTTCATATGCTGGTGAGAAAATAGTTATTGATGTTTTGCAGCAATCGCAAAGACAAAATGTGATTGGCATTTGTAGAGGGGATCTAAAGGCCATTATAAYGTGATGGATGGAGCAGCTGAGATATCGCTACAGATTCTGATAAGATAACAAAAGAAGCAAAGCAGTGTCTCAGTTTTTTTTTCTGATCAAACATGTGCAGGAAAAAAAAGAAGAAGAAGAAGAAAAAAAAAGCTGTGGCAGGTGTCTCTGACATCCATGCTCTGGTTCTCAACAGCACTATCTCATTTAAACTGGCTATCCAGGCTTTCTCTTCACTGTAGGTGCAATCTCTCGTTTTCTTTCTCTTCAAACTCTCCCCCCATCGTGCATGCATGCAAACACACACACACACACACACACACACACACACACACACACACACACACAC